CTTCTTTAGGAAATATATGTTTCCAACAGTGCAGTGTGATCACTTTCAATGACAGTCTGACAATGACAGGAAGAAGAAAAGCCTCTTGTGATGTGTTTGTGTCTTATTTATATTTTATTTAGTTGTATATAATTTTTTTATTATTATTTTTGTTGCATTTTTACAGTATGTATAAATTAACCAGGAGTGGACTAGATCTAATAAACTGTCAACTTTGTGTAAATATACATATGTTTTCTATAAAATTTGAAACCAAACGAGCAGCCAGCCCGCTCACTAATTTCTCAATTAAAATGTTTTAACGATACATAGACGATAAATATCTACTATTTTTATTGCTATGATAGTAACTATTAATATTACTATAATTAATCTTTCTTGCACTGTTTTCCATTTCTCTTAAAAAATCCACTTCTTTTCATCCAGCATCTACGGCCCAAAATGGCCATAAAAAGAAATATTTGTCAACAAAGAATTAAATTAAATGGAAATAGCACAAAGCATTGACCAGAAAGGTGTATGCTTTAGCTGAAGCTTGTTATATCTCCAGTGTATACAGAGCATATTTTCATAAATAGCAAGCAAGACTTTTATTATGGAATCTAATTTCTGCCACTAGGAAAACTAAAATTAAAAACCTTTTGTCTATAAGTCCAAAGTTGGAGTTACTGTCTCAAAATTTCAGCTTATGTACGCAATCTTCAGAGAAAATAACTAAAAATTGATCAAATAGCATATATGTTCAAGTCATTAAGTCCGGGTTTTGAGATAATAACCCGATATTTTTACTTGTGTTTTACGATATATAAATAATAATAATAATAAATATATATATCGTTGTTTTACATTTCACTTTCAGACTGTCATTTTACTGTAGAAATGGGAAATTGTTGTAATTTCGACCCACTCTACTGTAACGCACGTGAAGCGGCAGACCAATCAGATGACGGCGAGCCCACAGCCACCCGGATGTACTCCTGAAGTGCTTCCTCGTCAAAACACTGGCATGGTGGAACTATTGAGTGACTCAAGTGTTACAGTGACAGCTTTTTAAAACAGCTATGCCGGGCCCATACAAAGAAACAGACCTAACCGAGAGGGTCGAGGCGTTCCTGTCCGACCTGAAGCGCGGGGGGACCGGGGCAGGACCTCTCCGGGGCTCTGCGGAGACAGCCCGAGAAACGACAGCCCTGCTCCGCAAAATTACAGCCCAGGCTCGGTGGGGCAGTGCAGGTACTGAATGCTGTTTGTCGTCGACACAGTGAAGTTAACTGCAGCGACAGCTGCCATTGTAGTCAAACAGGCTTTGTTTTTAAATCGGGTATAACGCTGTAGTACATGACAAATAAGCTTTCTTTAGCTTTCCTTACATCTAAACAATACAGAATATACATATGTAAAATGTTGAACATGTGGAAAAAAATAGTTGCTGATGTAAAATCATGCACAAAAAACATTATATCCCAAGATTTTGGTCTTTTCCAAACATCTTCTCGATTTCAGGTGATCTGATGGAAATAATCCGCAAAGAGGGGAGGAGGATGACAGCAGCCCAGCCCTCAGAGACCACAGTGGGTAACATGATCAGACGGGTGCTGAAGATCATCAGAGAGGAATATGCCAGGTGAGGACGCCAAAACGTACCATTTTCAAAAAAAAACATTTGGTCCTTTTTAATTTGATAGCAACGTGTCCCAAAAACGTTCGGATGAGGAGAACAAAAGGCTGGAAAAGTAAGCAGTATTAAAAGTAAACAGCTGGAGGAACATTTTAAAACCAATTTAGGTGAACTGGGAACAGGGCATTAACATGACTGGGTATAAAAGAGCATCTTAAAGAGGCAAAGTAAAGTAAAGATCAGCAGAGGTTCACCAGTCTGCAAAAGCCCTCCATAAATTGTTGATGAATTTCAGAATAATGTTCCTCAACGTAAAAATGTGAACACTTTGAATATCGCATCATGAAAAGATTTTGAGAAACTCGAGAAGTCTCTGTGCGCAAGGGACCAGACTGAAAAACAGGACTGGATGCCTGTGATATTCAGGCTCTCATATGGCACTGCATTTAAAACAGACATGATTCTGTCATGAAAATTCACTGCATGG